CCTATTCAAAAATGGCAAGAAGTTTTTTTAAGATTTATTGTATTCAGAAAATGCTATGCAGCTGTGTTACCACTCAGGACTGCACCCCTGAATATAATGCAGTTAAATTATGTTATCAAATAGCTTGCTGTCTTCAGCATGTTTTTGTACTGAAAAGAGTTATTTGGGTTCTGTGATTTTAGAATGGGGGTGAAGATTTGGAGTCTAGATTTCCAATAATATATATTCCTTCACACTGCTAAAGTACAGTAGAAATGGGGTTGTGCTCTTTCTCCACTACTGACAATTTGAGCATTACCTCTATTTTGGCATTATGAGTAATATAAGGATTAATGCTTTTTTATTTTGATGCTGTTAAATTTTTTTGACACTGCTCTCATTAAAAAAAAACATAGTAATGAGAAGGTAGCCAAAATCCCCCACTTGCTTTTAACTGTCTGTACTTTAGACAGATCTTACTTGTGAGTTTTGTATCTATTTCTTTTGGAAATGCAAATACTACAATTTCAGTATTTTGTGCAAGAACATAGTTTGCCCACAATTACAGCAATTTCTAGCGACAAACTTTCAGTTGCACAAAATTAGATCTTGATATCTTTGTTTTTTAAAAAAAGACAAAGCAATCCAGTCTTTCCACTAGGATATTGCCAGCAATGCTGTGCTTCTTCCTGTAGCATTTTGCAGAAATGCGGTAACTTGTAATTTGTGTTTTTATCCCAGACAACCTGGTGTTCAATGATTATTAAAATTTGTTAAGAAAAAGTATTGGTACTTGTTTTCTTTTTACTGCTATTTTAACAGTAATTATAAATACAGTTTGCCTTACAATTCTTTTATACCTGATCATCTTTAAGTATATTTATTAACTTAAAATAATGTACAAATGTTTAATTTAACATGTCCTGGTTTGCCCAAAAGATGAATTGTATACTGTGTTCTATTTCAGTGATACAAACTGACCTTTGTATGTAACATAGTGAGGCGTTTGTTCCAGCTCACTTCATTTTTTATATTTTGTGTATATACTTTTGTGCCTTTCTTTTAGATCCTAAAATCCAGGAAATTGCTTTTATGTACAAATTCTACTAGTGCCAAATACTGAATTCTGCCTGCTGTGTTGAAATTTCAAAATATGTTTAAATCTGCCATAGGAAAGTACATATTGCTGGAAAATCTGTATATGTCCAAAGTTGGTGGAAATTAGCAATTGTGCTTAACACTTCATTTCATTTGTAATCAAGTTCTTAAAATATTTATTGTTCTAGTAGAATATCAAATTTCTGTAGCTGCATATATGCATAGCTATTTGGCCCGCAGTTTGGCAAATGTTGCAGTTCTAAGCCTTTTCTAATTCTTTGTAGGTCTGGAAGTGGATGTTTTAATACAAGGCACATCTCCCTTTCAGGCAGGCTTTGCTGTTTGTTAAGACATATATAAAGGTACATCCCTTTTTCCACATGGAGGTGCGGTTTTTTTTCACTGAAGGAGAAAAGTATCTCCTGTACAATTTACTTCTTTGAGCATTTTGGAGAATTAAATCTAAGTGGCATGCTTTCTAACTTCCAGTAGAATAATCTTTTCCGATCTGTGTTGCATTTTGGCCCTTTATTTAACCAAAGAGAATATCCAACATCTGGTATCCATATGTTGGTGTACAATCTTTGGCATAAATATTTTAAGCTTTTTTTTATATATAATACATAATATAATAAAAGTCATATTTAAAAGTGCTATGGCTCTTTTTGCAAAATTTACCGTGTATATTACTTCTATCTACACTCTCCTTTTTAAAATGAAAGATTAAACAACATTTAAAAGTGCGGTTTAATATTTATCCCAGATCGTTTAACAATTAAAAATGAATTTAAATAATGAGTAGTTTCGAAGACAGCGCTGTGCAACCTTAACGGCGCCTATTTGAGGGCGCGATGTGTTTAGCATATGCTACGTCATCAAGGATCGTGCGGCCTCACGTTACCGAGATGGATGTAAAAAACTACGCTGGCGCAAGAAACTAAAGAGCACGACAGCTGTTAATGCCAATGCAGGAGGCGAGTAAAGAGAATTTACCATAGAGCTTCGGCGGAATAGGAGGACCAACGGCGGCCCTCGGTTGTCATTATCGATTCTTTGCGTCGTTGCTACGAGACAGACGGCGCGCTGCCATGGAAACCTAACACAGGCGTTCAGACCTTTCGAGAGAGGCAGCCGAGGAACGAAGCTTTGGCAGCAGCTGCTTCTTTCCGTAGCTTCTAGCCGTTAGAGCAAGAAGAGTCGCTTGAGCCGGTGGAAGGGGACGAAGGGTCCCGTTTGAAGCTTGGGGAGGGGCATTAGCGGGGGATACTGCTTTATTTGCGCTACGGTACATTTATGCTCCTTTTTCTACAAAGAGCTTAGGATAGCTTTTTATGATGTCCCGCTTCTAGCATCGTATTTTATTTGAATAACAATCCTGAGATAGGTTGCAACTAGAGAAAGAAGGTGTATCCTTTTGGATGACCGACACCCCCCCCCCCCCACCCCCCAAAAAAGTGAACTTCCTACCTGAGCGGGTTTTTAAACTCTAGACTCCCTCGCTCCAGTCCAGCCGGAATATTTACTGCAAGTTACATCACACCATCCGCTGAAAACGCGTTTATTGAATATAAATATGAGAAGTAGAATTATACGTGCTACTCCCGTGATGAGTTATGAATATAATGTATATCACACTTTTTATGCATACTGTATGGTGGACTGTAAAATATGTTTTTAAAAGAACCTAAGCAGTAATGCAGTCAAGGCTGGACTTCGTGCCTTAATCTTATTCACCAAACTAACAGAAGGGAGTCTTAAGGCTAGCAATGTTTTAAAAAGTAAAAGCTAGTAGACCTTTATGAATATAAACTAAAAGTATCTGAATGCATCAGTATTTAATAAAACTGAATTGCTTAAGGGAGTGGGATTTACAAATATCTATCTATAATTATAGGTGGTTCTTCACAAGAAGCCCGATATAAGTCCTTTCGTATTTTTGTAATTGAGCCCCAAATCATTTTATTTGGCTACGGTGCTTCTTTTCCTCATACACAATGTCCCACAAAGTGCATTTTCTACCAACTACATTTTATAAATCATATTTTCTCTAAACTAGATGTGTTGGTCAATAATTCTCAAAGTGTGGTCTGGGGATCCCTGAGAAATCCACATAAATCCAAGCTGTTTGGGATCCTCAAGCATTTTTAAGAATATAAAGGAATCCTGAGACCAAAATGTTCAAGAACCACTGTTAAGACTATCAATCTCACATCCCATGCACCTTAGAGAAAGTGTGTTTCCTAGGCATATATTGTAGGCCAAAGATGATGTGGAAGGCTGCTATGAACACTAACTGTAGTTTTAGTATTTTGTATATTGAAATCTATTCTGCTGAGTGTTACGTTTTGCATTAAACTAACAGCAGTATGTAGCACATTGTACACTAGCTAAGTAGATACTTGGATTATATATTAGAAGAGAAAAATCAATAAAAGAGATTTGTAGCTGAGGGTCCTATGGTGCTATCTGAGCTTCGTTGTTTTCTTGCAGACATTTTATTTCCCAAACTAGGTAATGCAAGAAATATCTGCAAGAAGGCAAGAAAGCTCAGAGAGCATCAATGACCTCTCAAGAGAAAAATGTTAATTTCTGGCTCTGGATACTATTCCTAGAAAATTGTATTGTTAAGAACAATATATTTCTTGCTAAATGTCCTGAGAATCATTTGATTAATATGCAGAACCTAAATCTATGTTTATTCTACAGTAATATAAGGATTCTGATTTCATGAAATACAGATCTAAAACCTGATTTATCAGACATTGCAGTCATCGTTCCAAGGTTTTATTTATTTTCAAGGTACATTTTATAGTGGTATGGAAAAAACAAATGGGAGAGAGTTTGACTCACATGGAACTGAAATAAGCATGCAGATTTTTTTGAGTACTATACACAATACTGTAACTGCTGGTTGCTTCAGAAGAGATCACAAAAAATGTCAAGGAAAAAAAAAGCAGTGTAGCTTAGCTGGTGTAGATATCTACTGATGTATGGCAATCCCATCTTACTGATGAAAGATCTCAGGTTGATGAATCTCCGTAAGGAATTCTGGATCATGTTGCACTTAAGCTTGGCTACTCACCAGAGGATTTTAAGATTTAAGCAACAGTGAAGTGAGAGTTTATTGCCCTTAGCAGGAATAAGTTGTTTCTAATGAAGTGAGGCATACAAAATCATATGCCTTTTAATATAATTTGTTAGCCTAGACAAGTTTACCAGAATCCTGATTTTTAACAAAAAGAGAGTAATCAGTGCCAGTTATGGGAAGATAGACTAAAGGAACTAGAACACATACAAAATAATACATGACAGAGGAACAAGTGCAAAAGGAGTCCACTCTAAAATTATGAAATCCACCACAGCATACACCACCTATTTATAGTGGATTGTATTTATTTTTCACCTCCCATCCCGTAATCTGAAAGTTGGAAAGATCACTCTGGGAAACATTTGGAATATGTGCAAATGGCTAAAAGTTAGGGAACAATACCTTGATGCAAGCAAACGTTTGCTTTCATAATTTGAATGTAGTCTAATATAGTTGTTAATTTTGTACTAGAAAATGAATTGGCATTGTTTTTGCTATCACTATTTGTTGGCTACCAAATCTATAATCAGAAGGACAAAAAAAGATTGTTCAGGCATAATAAAAGGTGGTGTATTAAGTAAATTTTGTTAGCATTATAAGTTTATTGAGGCACCTTGGGAAAAATCATTTCTTAATCTATCCAGAGTTACGAGGTATCATTAAGTTCCTGTGAAGATAAAATTGGATAGTCTTATATGTAGTCCCTTCAACTCCTTAAGAGGAAGTGTATGTAATAAAGTATGTGTATGTGGTAAAAATGATATTAACATATATTATGCCTTTAAACATCTTGAGTTTATTTTAGAATAGATTAATTAATGAATTATTGTTCTTTTTAGTTTTCATAGGATTCTAGTTTGAGACCTTGAATAACCATGCCTGTTCCAGATGTTATGTTCTGTGCACAGCAGATTCATGTTCCACCTGAACTGCCAGATATTATGAAACAATTTACCAAAGCAGCTATCAGGACTCAACCACGTGATGTTCTCCAGTGGTCTTATGGGTAAGGAGAAAACCAAAGTTAAATGTCTTCATTAAGAAGACTTCACAGACACACACTTAGAAGTATGTCTGTGCTCAGAATAATTATGTCAGTGTTCACATGTCACCACAGACATCTAATATCATTAGTCTGTTCACAAACAACTGTTTAGGTGCCCACCTAGTTTCTTGTCCCACCTGAGTTTTTAAAATATGCTTCGAACTTTAAAAATTATTTTAAGGAGTCTGATATACTGAGTGTTCAAAAATGCTTTTAAGCCCACAGAAGTATTCCTAGAGATGGTGATAACTACATTATTTTATTTTATTTGGAAATATATCCACTTAAACAGAAATCTGTTTGAGAGAGCAAGAGTTGATCAATCCCTGTCACACTCTAGCCAAAGGGAGTAAAAGAAAATACACTTTTCTCTCACTTAGTGTAAGCTGTAGTATTGATTTTGAAAACTTTATACATTAGCTTCATCGGTTTTTAACTTGAACTGTCTTTTGGTATTTGGTATGACACTATGATAGGTACTTCTATGCTTTGTCAAGAGGGGAGCCTCTTCCTGTAAAAGAACGTGTTGAAATGCCAATTGCCACACAGAAAAATGATACTGGTTTGACCCCTGGCCTCCTTAAAGTTTTGCATAAACAGGTAATTTTTTTAAACAGCTGAAATCTACAATGACACTATAGATTTTAAAATGATATATACTACCTAAAATGACTCTTCTTTGAACTAGCTGTTCTTTATTCATGCAAAAACACCTTCAAATTATAGACATATAACATTCAACACTGAGTAAGCAAAATAAATATAAAATAAGTCACATAAATATAGCACATGTGAAAAAGTATGTAAAATAAATATAATTAAAACTAAATGACATTCACCTATATCAGGTCACATTGACAGCATTTTCTCTTGCCAGATGAGGTCTTCCTCTGTACATGTTGAGTGGCTTGTATGCACCGTCGTTATATGCTAGACTGTTCTTGCCTATGTTCACACACAATATCTTCTGTAGGGAAGTTCCATTTTCTTAGATTGTCCTTTGATCTTGCTACCCTCGTGCACAGTCCATTTGGCAATTTCCATATGGGCCACGTTTTTTTGTGACCAGGAAGCAGATAATCATGTCTGCCTGGTAGCAACTAGTTTTTGAACTAGCTAATTAACAGTTAATTTCCTATTTTGTTTTCTTATATTTACTTTATGATGTATATGCTTTTACAGTTACATCAAAAGAAGACTGTGGATTTAATAGATCTCCATAAAAAGTGGAAGACTTTGTGCTTACCAGTAGAACAACTGCGCAATCTTCTTCATTTAGATACCTTTGCAGATGGAGTAGAATGGATGAAATTTTTTGCCCTTTGCTGTAGTGCTCTTGGTGGGGTATGTAAGATATAAAAGTCTTTCTTATATTGAATTGTTGTTCTACTGAAATGAATAATACAGGTGTTTAAATATAAGTTTTTTAATTTTAATTTTGGTTAAATGCATAAGGAAAAGAAATAACTGTGAGAAAATTTTTAAAAACAGTTTGAGGTTCAGAAGATAGAACACATGATACATATACAATATTAATAGGATCTAATTAGACTGCATAATTTAAAACATAGAAAATCATTAGTGCATTATGGACATTTGAGTGCACGTAAATATAAACACACACATACATATGTAGATAAGATTTTTAAAAAGTTTTAAATTTATGTAACCCTTGGTTTTGATAAATCAACTTTTTTAAAAACTGGAAAATGCACTTATAGAATTATTTCAACATTTAAATTTTAATTCTTCAGAGTGTCAGTTGTGTTTAATGACTATTCTTTTTGCCACATTTTTATTGGTTTATCAAAATATAAAATAGAAAGGAAAATAAAAAGTAATAGAAAACTGGGAAGGAGAAAGGAAGGAAGAAAATACGTGGTAGAGATTGAAAAAGAAAGAAAAAGGCATTGACTTCCAACTCTCTTTAGGACAGTAGAATATAATAACATTACCTCAACTTTTTACTTTTACACAATAGTACATACTAATCATTTTTATAACAACAAACCTATCTAATCAGCAAAAACAAAATCAAAGTTTCTTTTTTTTTTCACTGTAAGCACAAAATCCAAAAGTATATACTATTCCCCTTAGCAATGAAAGCAGAGATGGTTAAATTGATTCCTTTATCCAAAGAAGAGAATATATTTAATGTTGTTTCTGTTTGGAAATCACATTTAGCAATTGTTCAAGGTTATGATGGACCTACCTTGGGGCTACTTACAACCCTAATTCAAAGTTACACTGGAAGCTCCTCCCAGGTCACAGGACTGAACTTGGGGAGCTCGGCAGCACAGCTTCATTTATGCTCTTTGCAGCGTCCTATAGTCACATGACTACATTTTATGAGTTTTGTTGATCCGTCCAGTTTTTGGCAAAACTACAGCCATAGCGAACTATTGAGTCACTTAACAACTGTGATATTCACTTAACTATAGCATTCACTTAACCATCGCAAAAAAGGTTGGGAAATTGGTTCAGTCACATGACCAACTCATTTTAGCCCATCATGACTTATGACTATGATAGGTAGACTCCAGTATGGTTGGAAGTCAAGGAATACCTATACAAGGAGTTTTTATTATTTAAGCTGCAATATATTAATCCAAATTCCTTAAATTTCACAATTGAGAGGAATTAATAGAAACCCACTTTATTAGAGCTAATTAATATAAAAAAGCCAAGAGTGTATATGTGCCGTTTTATGCTATAGCCATGATGAGATTGCCAACACTTCTGGTTTCCCCTCACTAGACATACGTGCAATCATAATGCATTAAAACCTCTGGATGGTTTGCATGCTTTTCACTAAGAACTGCATATTGTTTGAACTGGTATTTCTGGGTATTTTGTATAGTCTTTCACAATTCATTTTATTTTATTTTATGAATGCACCAGGGATGAAAACTGAAATAAATGCAGGTTTCATTCCATGCATATTTATAAAGAACTGTGCTACCTTTCCACATTTGCTGGTGGTGTTTTACTTTTCTTCTACATTTCTGTGGAAAGAGAAGCTATTAGTCTAATTAAATCCAGTATTAGAACAGCTACAAGTGAATCTTAGTACTTGCCTTGTGTTCTAATGTATACTTGTTTGCTTGTTTTGGCTTTTCTTAGACCCTGCTCAGTTCGATGAAGCATGCGTGTGAAATTCTGACGCTTGATCCAGAGGGTGGACCAGCACGTATTCCATATGTTACTTTTCACTTTCTCTACACCTACTTGGCTAGCTTAGATGATGAAGTAACAGAGGAAGTATCCGAGTCTTTTCTCAAGTCTCTTAAAGAACAAGTGTAAGTATTAATGGGTATATGAATCTTGTGCCCTCCCTTCCCTGCAGCCAATTGAACAGCAGCTTTTTATCTCCTCTTGCTTCACTCCAAATGCCCAGAACCTTTTGATCATGAGAAGAGACCTCAAAGTCTACATCAGTTTGGCAAAGTGTTCCACTAATTCTCCTTTCTTACATCTCCAAAGGGCCCTAGAATAGAGAAAGGAGAATCCAATATGGTGCAGTGTTTCCTGCTCTATATTCTATGCAATGTTCAAATACATTTTCACTTTCCCTTCACAGCACAAATTAGTATGCCTCTCTATATTATTATCTTTAACCATGATTGCAAACCAATTTCGTAGTATAATTTTTAAACTTTGTCCTTATATACAGATGTAAAACCTTCATGGTTGAAGGTGAAAGGTAAAACTAGGGAGAACAGTGTGCCAATCAAAGGAAGAAAATTATTAGCTGGATGTAGGTCAGGTCTGCCCAATTTGTTGATGGGAAAATGCCCACATTGATAAAATGAAAAATCCTTGTGGGCCACAAAGAAATGCTTAAGAGTGCCAGCAGCTATTCTATGGCTACTAAAATTGTGGAGTTGTGCAAACCAGTAACAAAGCTTGGATGTCCTGAGCAGCATGTTTTTGAGATGGTAGTTTACTTTGTTGGAAAACATTGGTGGGCTGAATATTGTGCTGGCCTGTTCTAAATCTAACTAGCAATCAATTTTTATTATGGTCACAGACCAGCATTGCAAATAAAAGCATTAAAAGTAATAATAAAAAATAAAAATAGACAAAATAATTTATCATGATTACTGATGGGTTATCAGTGGGTAATTAGAGTTTGCCCAATTCTGCAGTTTAACAAAATTTGGCCATTCTGATAAACTATTTTGGACTGAGTAGATAACAGGTCTTTAATACAAAGTGATATTTTATAATTCTTATGTGATATTTATTCTACACGTATTGATTAGAGGAGCAAAACCATGCTTTTAACCACCTTAAATGTAATTTAAATGTTTTGTAAATGCTCAATGTGTCAATACAACTTACCTTTTATGATGTACCTTATTTAAAAAAATAGACAGGATCTTATTACTAGCTTCCCCTTTTATCTTTGTTTTCCTGCCTCATTTGGACATCTAGATGTTATAGATGTTGGAAAACAAGTTAAGCTAAGATTGGAGGTCTATCTTGTATGATAGAAATGTATTTTTTTAAACAAAAGAAATTTAGAATTTTTCCTTCATGTATAAATTGCAAGCTTCTGGGGTGAGATGGATTTGACACATATTGTTAGTTCCTTCAATAGTAGTAATGAAAAATAATTATTTTCTCATTTAGGGCACGGAAGGACTATATGGTTGGTACTGCTGATTTCTCCACTGTAAAATTGATGTCTTAAAACAGGAATATTTGAGAGTAACAAATTTTTAGTACATAGCAAAATGTCATGTTGAATAGTGTAAAAAAATTAGAGTTTTCATTAATGTAATCTCTAATGTGCTTTTCAGTTTGTGAACTACCAATAAAATGTGTACTACCTAATTGTCTGAAGTCAGATTATGGTATTTTATGAATATTAATTACTCCTTCAACAAGCAGTATTTAGAGTAGAAAATCTAATCAGTAAGCAGATAATTGAATGGAGATTTCTATTTCCAGAGTCAATCTGGTTATGCCATCCATTCAGTGAAGAGACCATCGTAAGTGATGTAGTATCGAGTGTGCAGTTCTCCCAGGGCTCCTTCCAGACTCGGAATTTAATAGTATCTTCTAGATTTCTCCTTCTGTAATTGAGACCCTTATATATAATATCTGGGCAACAATCATATAAATGAAAAATGATGGTCTACAGCTGTCCATTATTTTTATTTTCTGATGTCTGGATATACATACATATGGTGTCAATTCATTATCTGCAAAATCATGATAACACTTAACATCATATGTTTGTTGGCACTGTCAAAATAATTCAGTTTGGTCTAGTGGACCAGACTAGAAAGTGGGAGTTCAAATCCCACTTTAGCCATGAAAGCCAGCTTGGTAACTTTAGGCCACTTACTCTCTCTCTCAGTCCAATGCACCTCACAGGGCTGTTGCAGTGAAAATAAGAGGATGTGTTGAATATGTTCGCCACCTTGATATTTATACCGGCACTACAAAAAAATTTTTATTATAAATAATATTTTTTTATTTTTACAATAAAATATATTTGTTAAAACAAAGACTGAATATTTTGATGAATGTTACTAAAACAAATGTTTCTTAAGAATAGTTTAATATTAGAACCAACAACAATTGATTTAAAAGGTGGTAATTGTTTATGTGAATAATTAAACAACATATTTTTTATTTATTAAATTTTTATGTCATCCATTTCACTATCCAAAGTAACATAACTCTGGGTGGCAGTGTGATAGTGATTTCAAATGATATTTATTAAAGTAGCTATCATCTTAGCTGTCAGATATGTTACTGGAATTAAACAGCTACAACTTGGTTTGGCTCCACATCTCTTGTAATAGAAATGCAAGTATTACTTTCTTCTTTTATGACGTTTTCCTTCATCTCTGAAATAAAATGGAAGCCAGTATTATATTAGAGCTTATTCCTCTTACTTTTTTTTTTCTAATCTCATATTTTCATGAAACTATTATCCTTATAATGCTCATGCATACTGAAATGAAATTGAAATACATATTGCTGCATTGGCTGATGTTTATCTTTTGATACCTTTTTCATCAGCTACTTAGAATATAGAATCTTTGAGGGAATATTGCAACTATTTCCCTCTTAATCTTAAATCTAACTGGACTGCACAAAATGAATCAGTTTTTGAAAGAGAGATCACAGAAGTGTGAAGCGGAGCAATATAAAGGCAAGTTAATTTATAGTATTTCTTCCCGCTCCTGTTTTCAGTGTGTCCCTTCTCCTGAGACTGCTTTTTGCTCCAGTGGAGGGGAATCTGTTATTTTTTTACCAATATGCAAAAAAGGAGATAGAGAAGATTAAAAAAAAAATCTCTATCCCCTTTGTTGCAGTCAAAACACTCATGGGGAATATGTTGTTATAATACAAACTAAAAACTATTTAAACAGAATTTACTAAATAAACTGTCCAGATTCACAAAATATGTGAACCCATAAAGCATTATTTATATAATTCAAGGAATCCTCTTTTTAACAATTATAATTGGGAATGGAGTCTTGGTTATTGAATGAAGGGGTTGTTAAACAAAATGATCCACCTGACTACTTTACTTAATGACCATGATCCAGCAATCCGCATTGTGGTCATCAAATGGTCTCATGGGCTGTTAAATGAACAGAGACTCTGGAGGGTTTTGGAGTTCTGTCCATGCTTGAATTTCAGCTGCCAAGGTACAAATAGGCATGGAGCCGAGCATCCTTCTCTCTCCACCTTTGCAAAGAGGGATTTGGGGCTCCACGTATGATTGAATTTCAGCTGCTTTAAATCCAAGCAAACCAAAAATGGCAGGGACCTCTTTCATCCAGCCCCCACAGAGGACAGAAACCTCTTGGTAGGCTGCAGCAGCCCACAACCTTCCCTGCCAGCTTCTCCATTGACTTTCTGGGGAGGCCAGCAGGAAATATTGCATATGATGTGATCATGGGGCATTTGTTAAGTCGTAAGTATGAATAGATTGCCAAGCACCCAGATAATGATTTTGTGATAGCGTGGGCAGTTGACATTTTGCAATAATCTGTACAATCTTTTACAGGGTGTAAAGTACACTTTTCAAAGTCTTCATAACCGGTTATTAAGTAACCAGTTTTAAGCAATGACTGAGCTAAGCCACAAATAAGGAGATCACATTTTGGCTTAGTTTGGTTGTGTGAACGCACCCTATATAAATACTGCTGATATAAGAGCAAATGATGGGTATTTTTAATATGGTAATGTATAAGTAATATCTTACTCTATACACTGTGTATATTAAAACATTATTAAGACAGCTATTTGATTCAGTTATCCCCATAGTACAACAGTATCAAAACAGTTAATCTTCACATTCATACAACTCAATTGCTTATATATTACATACTTCATTATTTTTAAAAATAGTTTAGTAACATTTCTAAGTATATTAAATTATCCAGGCCACAGAACAGGTCTGAGCATATTACTAAAGAACTCATTTTTAAAAATGTGTATGGAGATTCTGAGCCATCCAGGTCATGGTTGCTCCAAAGGTACCTTTTCGGGAGGCTACTGAACTTTCTTATTTTTAAAAACTTTCTACAATTTAAGACTTAATCCCTACACTGAATAAAACAATTTCCTATTAAAAGCTATATTTATTCACCCTGGTTTTATGGGGGAAGTTACAGGTAGTCCTCAAGTTACGACCACAATTGAGCCCAAAATTTTTGTTGCTAATGAAACATTTGTTAAGTGAGTTTGTCTCATTTTACGACTTTTCTTGCCACATTTGATAAGTGAATCACTGCAGGTGTTAATGACAGTTACATGAATCTGGCTTCCCTATTAATTTTGTTTGTCAGAAGGCCACAAAAGGTGATCACATGACCCAGGACATTGCAACCATCATAAATGTGAATCAGTTGTCAAGCATCCAAATGTAAATCATGTGACTGTGCTGCAACTGTCATAAGTGTGAAAAATGGTCATAAATCACTTTTTTCTGTGCCGTTGTATCTTCACACAGTCAGTGAACTGTTGTAAGTTGAGGATTACCTGTATTTTGCTTATAAATCCTAAAGAAAACACTTCTATGTCACAATTACTTTTGAGTAATATTTTCATCTCTTTATGTATATTCAGTTGTCAAAACAGAACCCAATGCTAAGTCTTCAGTTTAATTTACGTTACTTCATAATCCATGTATTCCCAGCAGACCTTTTTGTATAAAAGTATCACTGCCTATGTTATATGCCAGTTGAAGTAAAAAGACAGGAATAAATTCATGTAATAGTAGTTTATTTTAACCCGGTCAACCTAGGAAACCAAGTGTAATTTGTTTTTTTTTTAAATTGTTTTATGTCAGGATTTGTTTAGTACTTTCTCTGAAATAGGAGAAATTATGATATAGAATTCCATATTGTTATTTCTTTTAGATTATGCTGGTTATTATGAAATCAACTTTTGTTTTTAAAAAGTATATGGTTGAGTTTATAATTGATTCTGGTACCATTACTAATTTGATACATCTTTTGATTTAATATCTTCTTGGGTAAGTATAGGAAGACTTAAAGCCAATAGCTGGATGAAAATCACTATGAAATTCTCTCCTACAAATTAACATTGAATGTAAACAAGGTTTAAGCATGTCCTACAATCCCAGTCTGTGATGTAATATCACTCTAGTTCAACACAAGTCAGAAATCAAAGACTCTACTTACCTATCTCTTTTCCTTCGGGAATCTCTCTCTCTTTCTTTCTCCCGACTTCTTTTCCGTCTGCCTGGACTTCTGCTGGAATTCCGCCTATGTCGAGAATAATCAGTATCTTTTGAACTTCCACAAGACTGTCTTGAATCAACTGATGCAGATCTTCGCTCTTCTTTACTAAAGAAAAGACAGTAATTATGTTGTAGCAGCGGTCTTGATCATTAATGTTGAGGGAGGGAATGAATGCTAATTTCTCTCAGTGAAAATTGCCACTAATGGCAAAATAATTAGCTGCACAGAATCATGTAAGAGGGACTGGACTTCAAAAAGTAACCCAGCTGAAATTACTGCTTCACCGTTGCTGTCCGATCTCAGCTGCACCAGAATTAATGGGAAATAAAAGGAAATGTCTACTACTGTATTGTTTGCTCCATACTTTCATTTGAATGTTGTATTTTCATTAAAAGATGACAATGCTTAGGAAACTAGACAGTGAATAAAGTTGTGTTTCTAATATAAATTGAATTATGAAAAATCTTTCTGTAAAATAATGCAAGGAGAAAGCCATTTTTAACAACTGTGATATATAACTCTGCTTTCTGAATGTCATTGTGCTTTGCAAACACAACCTGCTTCTGCCACTCACCATGACACAATATTTAAATAAAACCTTGCTTCTCACAAATGCATTCTTAACCTCTCTGATTATTTCACAACTATCAAGTGACAATTTTATCTGTTGTCAATAACTGGCCAACAATCCTGTTCTAAGTAACAAAGGAAGAAAGAATAGATGTTCTACAACTTTTACAAAATATAAAATCAGTAACATCACTAAAGGAAATAGGCATTGGAAAGAATGAAACTAAACTGTATTGGACAATGGGTATAGCACAATACCATGATATGCAGACCTAATCTGCAGGTCATTAATTCCAGTTTCATTTGAATTCAGAGGACCAAAAAATACAATTTCTTAAGTTACTACCAACTTAGAAAACAGCAAAAATTTGGCAATGATAATCATACCTTCCTGAAGACTTGGCTGAAAAAGATGACTTTTCATCTTCTTGAACCCCAGTATTTCTATTCTCCTCCTGCCAATGAGTGTTAAGTTCTTCCATGTGTACACCAATCACATCTCTGATTACCTGAGTGTTCAGAAATATTGAAATTAGATAAAATATTAAAGTATGCCAGAATATATTATTTAAGCTAAATAATATTCAGATGGAAAGTGTCCTTTTGCACAATGTTACTAATATGATGGTCTATGTATACTTTGCTTCCATTCGTTCCTTCAACCCATTTGCCTCCCCCGCTTTTCTTTTGGTTAGTTGTTATAAAATTATGTAAAATAATTGGCCCAATATAAAACATAAAGGAAGCATACAGAAAGGTAGTGTAGCTTGCTAATATTGTTAAAACATTATAATTACCTTAAGCAATTAAAATGCACAAATTGAAAGAAGTAAATATCTGCGAATGAAGAGCTAAATATTAAAAATATGAAACGACCGTTTGAGAGATGATCACTAGGCCTGTACTTCATTTATCCATCCAAATATTTTCCCATTTTTGGCAATAGTAAAAATATGAATCACAGTAAACCTAAATGTTACAATAACTGACATCAAGTATTCAAGAGTTATAAACTTAAGATCAGGCAAATTTAACTTATTGCAATGTATTCACTACAATGACAGCATGTACACAGTGATAGCCTCAACTCAACAATATTTTTGGAAAACAGGAGAATTTAAATATTGCTGCCTATTTAAGGTATTTCATACAGAGATATTTTTAAATGAAGAATAGTTTGAGATAACTCCCAAGTCATATAGACCTCTGTGTAAGATTTCTTTGTTATATGAACATTCTTAGCTCTATATGATTGCCGCCGCCTTTTATAATCCCGCATCTCTGCAAGAATTTCAAGATGAGATTTTGGACCTTTCTGGCCATCATCTAAAAAGGAAAAAAGTATGCTGTGTTAGAAACAATTATTCCAGTGGATGTATTCAGTAATATAACTATAAAGATGTGGACTATATATGACCGGCAATTTCAGCAAATGCCTGTAATCTAGACCATTTTACTAGGAGGGGGTTTTCAAGATAACAAGTGAAGCAAATTAATGTCACTTCTGTGACAGCAATCTGTCTCAGCAATGGAGGAAAGGGGTCAATCATCTGCTGCCAATGACAGGCAATAGCTACTGGGGTGCAACTCAGGCCAATTTGTGTCCCATTTTAATTCATTAATCTGGGAATGCCAGTGTTATAAGAAAACAGGGGGAATACTATTAGCATCCCACTTTAACAGAAAAAAGACTCACTCAGCAAGAGATATTTTACATATTTTGTAATTTTTAGATATAAAACATAGCTGTAAAATTTTCTTCCAGACCTTGATTGACTTTTGCTGCCAAATCTACAAATAGATCACTGTCATTTTCTGTCGGATGAGATCTTGACCTCTGGTTCTTTGTCTCTGCAAGGACGTAATCGTAAATTGCAAGGCGGTCAGCTTGGGTCAGATCACAAATGTAACGCTTGTGGTTTTGTGGAACTTCCACAGGCTGAGATGAATAAGTTCCTAAAATGTGAGAACAGTTTGGCTCTATCAATCAAAACCAACACAAGTAGCATATTTAATTGAAAAGTAACGTGAAAAATCTTAAGACTTTAATGGATATTAATATTAATGATTGAATTAAATTGGAATGGATATATACATTTATAATTATTTCTTTCCTTTTTTTTTAAGAATACTGTGTGTAGTTTAAGAATGTACCAAACAGAATCTGAATGGAAGCTATGTATTATATTGAGTGTTATAACTTTAGGGGAAAGATATAAAGGCGTCATACTCCAATCAGTAACTACGGGAGAAATTTGGTTTAATGAGAAAAGATAATAGACAACTGAAACAAGACAGACAAAAAATATAAATATAATGATTTGAATTGAGATGAAATAAATACAATAAAATTGAGGGAATTAAAAGAGGGGAGAAGCCATGTAGAAAATGTAAAATTGTAATAAGATATGGAATAGAATATAAAAATGAACATGAACCTGAAATTGTGTCTGCACGAAGAAATGTAACCCGGGATTATGCTGCTTTCAAAAAAGATGTTTTAATTGTGTTTCTTTTCTTTTTGTGAAAACTCAAATAAAATTTACAAAAAACAAAACAAAACCCCAACACAAATAGCAATGTGCTGAAGTTTTATGTGACAAGTGGCCTGATATAGACTGATGGCAATTCATGGAGTTTCAATGAACCTACTGATTTCATTTGACTTATTACTAGTATAATTAGAGTCAAAAGGGTTATTTACTCCTAGGACAAACTGGCAGTTAGCTAGGAAAAGGAATCATCCATAATACATACCTGTAATATAGAATGTGAGTTGTAATTTGGGGGGGGGGGGGGGTTAGAGGTGAGGGCTGCACTGCACCTTTAAGTGTGATGCTAAGTTCACACTTAGAAAAATGGGAGTTAGTGAGTAAGGCTAAATAAATATTAAATTCAAATAAAAATTATTCCCATGTCTTTAGTAAGCTTCCTTCTTTCTCATATTAAAATTTATATTTCAGCAACAATTTTTGGAGTATTGGCGACTACATCCAGTTTTTAGTGAGCATAGTTTTCTTGTCCTACTATATATATATAAAACTGGGCTTCTCACTGTTTTTTTATAGTATTTCTAATTGTCTCAGCACGGCTAATAATACATTCAAAATCATAGTCCCCACTTTGCGTTTGCCAATGGGAATGATTTCCCACTTAGGAATTAGGCTGCATGTACGCAAAACAGAGTGACTGAGCCCCATAAAAGCAAATGTTTTTAAATTCCCAGAGAAGAGAAAAGGAGATATTCAACAAAAGTTCTTTATATCAGATCATTATTCAGCATATGCAGCAACGCAAGTAAATAAAAATCAAATTTGTGTTCAGAATCTTGGTCAGTACCACAGTTTCTATACCAAGTGGATATTTGTGGGCTCCCCAATGAAAAAGGCTTAGCTTTCACTTACCTGGGCAATAATTTCCACACTCTTTGGCCATAGCTTTTTTAATAATGTCAAATTGCAAATCTTTGTCTGTAGCAAAAAACAAAACACAGGAATGTTAAGTATACTTTTGTAATCATTAAATGTAGTGTGTCAGGATTCTGGAGGTTACCCCAATTAAATCATGAGTCTCGAGCCAAACTTTCAAAACTTCAAAAGGATTTATTAGAAGTTAATATGTCCGGCACTGCCTGGGTGTAGCCAACTCTGAGACACATAATTCACTGTCATCCTTGACCCTGGTTTTCCCCCACCTCCTGGGTATATCATAATTTATATTCTCCAATGAGGCACGTCCATAGCCAAGAGTCATCAATCATGTTCTCCAGTTAGATCTCTGCACAGCAGAAACTTCAGTCACCTAGTTACTATCTTTGAAAAACTATTTATGGAATGCACTTTCAATTTCCAAGCTGCTGCACTGCCCTTTCAAACCCCTTCCCCCCCTCCCTTTCTGTTGGCAACTCTAAGAAGACCATAGAAATATTTTATGAATTGACATAGTACCTGAAAAACAGGCTATATTGTTGCAGTACTGAACAATGTTAACAATATACTCAGAACTTTGTAACATTGGAAACCATGTGTTTCTTTTCCTATACTCCTTTTTAATATTCCAGATTCATTGAATCTTATAAAATCAAGAGAAATAAAAATTACAGATATTGAAAAAATAAGCCTTGGGGTAGACAAACTAACATTGTTCGTATAGGGTGTTAAACCAGTGTTTTTTATCTATTTTTGATTGGGGTGTTGGTTTTCATTTATTATGATGCAGCTAATTATAGTTTATTTAATTACCATTGTTAAGCCAGCTATAAAAAAAAAATCAACAATTGCCTCTTTTACAATACAAACAGTAACAGTGATTTCAAGCCTTGAAAATAAAAGCATTTTAAAAATGCAGTTTGACGTGACAACACTTTTAGTTTAGGATCCTTTTTGTGGCAATAGTTGAATCACCACACATTAACCAAATTCATGCAATGAATTCGTCTGCAATGGGTGGGTTTTTTTTTTTACCAGAAGTAAACAACAATTTACAGCAAATATATATAAATTCCTAATTGTACGTAACCCTTGAGATCTGTTGTAACTTTGAACAGCTACTAAGCAATCTTTGTAAGTTGAGGACTATTTGTAGACAGCTCTTAAATATATATCCATACTTCATCTCTGCACAGCATCAACGTTTTATACTGAGAGTAGATACAAGATCTGGTCTGATGTTTTTATTCTTGCTTCTAAAAAAAATCAACTAACATTTGTTAGTATGTTACATTTCAGTACTGGTACTTTAGTATGTATTACCCCATTCATACTTACCCATTTGAACTTTAGGAATGTTGCCTTTGTCATAGAAAAAAGTAGAATCATACATTTTAGCCTAGGAGACAAAATACATGTAAAATTATTTTATCAAATGGAAACGTAATTGATCAGCCACCAGCTTCTGAAATTAATAGAAAATCCAAAGAGATAAAAGTAGCAGATAAAAGTAGCAGATATTAGACTTCCCTGATAAAATAATTTCCTAATTTATCATCATAAATCATCTTGTAGATCTTTAGAATTGGCACCTGAGCTCCAAAATTGTAGTAGAGTCATGTCGGTTCTCACTCTTTTTATAATTTTTCACACTGGTGTAAAGCACAACTCTCCAGATTTAGGCACAACCACTTTACTGGGTTGGGTTCAAACTAGTTCTTCCCACTCTAGACCCCGCAGCTTCCTGGCACTAAGGCAGAACCTCCTGTCTGATCAGAGATGGAGATATACAACTGAGCACTGTTAGCATATTGATGCAGCTGCTGATACTTGTGCCAAGAAATGATCTCACCCAATGGCTCCATGTAGATGTTAAATATTAGTGGGGAAGCAGCTGTGGCACCCCATACAAGAGGGTGGTAGACCTCTCGCTTACTGGCATCATCAATCCTGGATGAAGGAAGAGAACTACCACAACGCCATGTCCTCAACTTCTAACACAGCCAATCCATTTGATAGTAGTAAAAACCACTGAGAAATCAAGCAGAGCTAGGAAAGTTGCATTACCACCATTCAGTTCCATCTAGAAACCATCCACAAATGCAACTAATGCCATTTCAGCCACATACCCAACCCTGAAATCTACTGGAATCCCACTTCATTCAGATCCCTTTGAAGGTGCAAGGCAACCAACTTCTCAACAATCCTCCCTAAAATGAGAAGGTTGGAAACATGAAAAAAACCAGTCCAAAATAGGTTTATGGATGGCTTTGCAAGGAAGAGGTGACCACTTCCACTTTAAGCAATGTAGAACTTTAATTTTACATGCCAATATGTGTGGCTTTTTGGAACCAAGAAATTTTGACCAGTAAAGATTGTGTTAAAAAATGGTTTTACTTATCTTTATTTAAAAAAATAAAAATCAGGTGAGACAAGCTCCTTGGGCACTAAGATAATATAACAGAAAGCATATTTACCCCATATCTAATGCAATAACCTTATCAATATAACTGTGGAAAGTATTTAAAGTAAAATGTTATCTTTTAAAAAGTCATTGAAAACACTTGCTGAAACTAGCAGAAATGCTAGAATGAGGTAAAAGAACTGTGAGAGAATAAACCAAAGGGAACAACAAAATAAACACTACCTACAATTGTTCTCAGTCATGCATCTGGATGTAAAAATGAATCACATTATACCAAATTAGAACCAGGTTTGTGGAAGCAAGTTTCTGAGCCTATTGGAAATCTTTTCTAAAACTTATCATTTGCATCTATCATATTCTCTCCATCAGCTGGACATCAGGAGAAAGTGAACAGGGTGGGGAGGTCTCAATAAGTTGTAAATAGAATATCCTTCAAAATCCTTATCTATGACTTTGATTTTAATAACTGTGTTGCTAATGGAATTCTAACAGATATTTTGCAGTAACAACTTCAGGGGGAAATAGTCTGGTGTATGCAGGTGTCCATTTTAAAAATCTAAAGCCAGCCTTGTTTTCAAAAGAAGGTAAAAAAAATTTTCCATCCTCAAAATATGAACAACCTTTTTATAAGGGGGTGGGGGTGGGTGGGAAGCATTACCTCTTCCTCTTTAGAATATTCTAGTTTCCTCAATCTACAGGATATCATATGTTTCTCCAAGGAAGATTTAGGCATTTGATGATTAGCATCATAAGGACAGGTCACTTTCTCGCTCTGGAGAAAAAAAAGAAAAGAAAATAGGTTTTAGCATGAAGCACAGTGGCAAGATTTTAGAATAGTAGACATGTTTGACAATAAAACATGATTTTCAATAGCAAGCCATTTTCAAAATCTTGCCAAGATATCTGCGTCACCTAGTCCAGGGATTTGCCAGGAACTAAAAATGACTTGCAGGCACAATCTCCACACCCCCAAAATAGTAAAACTAGCAGAAGAATTATCTTCCAGAAAACAAAGAAAGCAAGTTCCAGCTCTTCTAGATAAATGAAATGTTCGAGAGCATTTCCTATCTCTCTCTTGCTCTTTTCCTCTCTAAGATAACAAAGACAGAGGAACAGATGGTTCCTCTAAGATGAACTGAACTCCTGATGAAAACCGAAGTAGTTTTCTTGGCAACAATACATAGTTTGCCACTGCTAAATTCCAGAAACGCGTGTGTGTGTGTGAGAGAGGGAGAGAGATTGTCCATTACCTCTTTTCTCGGGCTGAGATAGTGTGACTATTGCAAAATCACACGAGAGGCCCCAATATAGAACTATCTTATCTGCACTGCAAAAAATCCGCATGATTCCCGATGGCAGTAGTCGAGGAATGCAACAAATCCTGCCTCAGGGTAGACCAGACCTGCGCAGGCCAACCCTATGTAAGAGTTTTTTCAAAAAGTGCGCGCAACTGAAGAAAAACTCTTGCTGACTGTCCATTCTTCCTCATTCCCTGGACAGGGGGTTAATCCCAGCTCCCTTGGGGATCCTGCCCTGCCGCCGCTCGAACAGAACCTTACCGGGGTCCCAAACCACAGGGGAAACGAAAGAAGACGCTCCTCTACTGGGCTGTCTGTCTCGGCAGCCATTTTGGAATAGGGCGCTCTCGCTTCAATTTCGCCCAAATTCAGAGGCGACACCATCTTCACTTCTGGCAAGGTAACGTCCTATTTTAAACTTGGAAAGCTTCGCTGGGTCAAGAGAATCGTTTTTAGGGAAGATGTCTAGGAGACCATCGACCTTTCTTTTCTTTTCTTTTTTTTTTAAAAAAAGCACTTTTAAACCGAAGGCAACTTCAAGGACTAAGAACAACTGGATCAAAGCTTCGGTTTGCCCGGTTTCAAAACATTCCGCGATGGAATCTCGCGATATTTCTCCGCTACGCCCGACCGTGAGAGAAACGGAAGGTCGCCCCCTTAAGGCCGCCTCCTGTTGGAGGACTAGATCAGTGCAAGTGAGATAAGCGAGTAGACTCCAAATGGTCATTGGCAAGTCAAGCATTTCTGGTGCGTTAAATGCTCAGTCTTTTCTTTCTGAGATCTAAACGGATTTAGTTTCACTAGTTACGTAATAACAAGATTAACGCTTGTTCTCCGTTTTCATGTGATATCTTCAACCGTTGAGAAATATGCCTCCCAAAACACATCAGAGTAAAAATTTTCTCTATAGATTTTTGAGGCTGAATGCAACCAATACCCATTCTTAATACTTTTTCCCCATTTTTTTTCTTATTGGACTATAAAAGAAAGCAAATTAATGGTCAAAAATGTATTTTCAACAAGATGACTAATACACACATATTTTTAAATCATATTTTTCTGCCTCATTCATACAAGCCTCTTTATGCTCAGTGCCTAGAAACACCCCCCCCCCTCCAATTTATAGAGGCAAGGAATGTTAAACACATCCTGTTAAAAATGTAATATAGCTGCAAATTACATTCACTGAATTCAAGAGCATAGTGGGGGAAGGTGCAGGGAGAGAGAGAATCAAAACTAGTTGCATAGCACATATTGCGATGACAAACAGAAGATATGAATTAATATGTTATCATAGCAGTGTATAATGTAATACAAAGACAGCTAGTGTTTAAAGCACCAGGCTAGAAACCAAGAGATTTGGGATACCTATAGTCGTAGTGCCAACCTATTGGGAGCGCACCAGATGGAGAATTATATTATTTTGATTATAATATTTTTGACACGAGCAATATACTTGTACACAATTGACATATACTCAGGGTACTTGATAATTGGAGAGGAGGAAATTGCACTTCTACACATAAAAAGAACAATATGAAGAGTGATACGAAAAGAAAATGTCTTTAGGAAGTAATGGAAGCTCATTCCCATTTTGAGCTGTGAATAACTACTATAGTGTGAGCTGTAATCCACTAATATGGATTACTGATATTCTGATCATGAAATCAATGAGAACAAAGCATGAAATGAATTGGAAAAGAAAACCTAACAAGCCAAAACAATACAAATTGATGAAACATATGACATCTGCTGAAATACCTTCTAATTAGCTACAATGTTTATGTGTTTTGAATAGAATAGAATTCTTTATTGGCCAAGTGTGATTGGAAACACAAAGAATTTGTCTTTGGTGCATATGCTCTCAGTGTACATAAAAAGAAAAAAATACTTTCATCAAGTATCATAAGATGCAACACTTAGTGACAGTCATAGGTTACTAATAAGCAAATCATACTAGGAAACAAAAAACAATATAAATTGTAAAAATAGAAGCTACAAGGTTACAGTCATAAGTGGGAGGAGATATAGTAATACAGTCTTACTAAATATTTGACACTGCTGTGGGAATTGTTTAGCAGAGTGATGGCATTCAGGGAAAAACTGTCCTTGTGTTCTAGTTGTTCTAGTGTGCCATGCCTATAGCGTCGTCTTGAGGGTAGGAGTTGAAACAATTTACGCCCAGGATGTGAGGGGTATGTAGATATTTTCACAGCCCTCTTTGACTCGTGCAGTATACAGATCCTTGATTGAAGGCAGTTTGGTAGTAATTGTTTTTTCTGCAGTCCTAATTACTCTCTGAAGTCTGTGTCTATCCTGTTGGGTTGCAGAACCAAACCAGGCAGTTATAGAGGTGCAGATGATAGACTCGATCATTCCTCTGTAGAACTGAATCAGCAGCTCCTTGGGCCGTTTTGAGCTTTTTGAGCTGGCACATAAAGAACATTCTTTTTTGATGACGTTTTTGATGTTAGGTGTCCATTTTAAGTTTTAAATGTTACACAAGAGTCTCTTAGAAATTGGAAGGATAATCTTTGAAGTCCAATTGAATGAGTCAGGAAAAAATTCTAAGGCAGACCTTATTAATGAAGGGATGAGCTTGTTTATTATATTTAAATGTAAGTATTAATTTCTCATGTAATTTATATTATCTAACAGCACTTATTTGCATGCACCATCCTTTGGCTCCCTCAAAAAGTGCATTATCAAATTGGTCTTTATATTTAATTTTAACTCCATTTTAGTTCCATATTTTCATTGGGAATTTAATTGTTGCATTTATTAAATCAGAACCATATGCTGTAGTAGCATAATGCTACATCTTGTCATTTTTAAAGCACAAAGACTTTTGAAAATAGATAACTTACTCATATACTAGATTCATTCTTTAAAATCAAAGAGTGCCTTTCTTTTAAATTATATAGAATTATCTTTTTGGCTGTACCTCAAGCTCCATTAAGCCAAAAAAATTCATAAGTTAAAAAGTTCCACATTTTAGAAATATAATTCAACATCACATTGAGATCCATAAATATTTCTTCCTAAAATTGTTAACTTACATATTAATCAAATAATATAAGGTAAAGCATTTTTTCAACCTTGCAACTTTAAGATGTGCAGATTTTAATTCCCAGAATTCCACACATCATAAAGATTGAAAAAGCTAAAGCATCTTCATATTGCTAAAATCTGGTTTTCATCCATTTTATTCATCTATTTCAGGGATGTCAAACTCGCAGCCTGAAGAACGGATGCGTCACGCGCTGGCCACGCCCAACCCCATTTTAGCCAAAGGAAAAAAGTCATGATACATCACATGATGAAAACGTGATGCCATGAGTTTGACACCCCTGATCTATTTTAACCTATTCCTTGAGGGAGATAATTGACCCCCCAAAATATTTCATTTTTAAACCATAAGTATATTTTATGTTTTTAATAAATGAATCCATTGATTTCCCAAAATCGGATATTTCATTTCTTCCTTTCACAGATCAAATATATAAATAAAATTAACTTCCATTTAATGTCCTAACATCTTATAAAACTGAATTGTTGACTTTCAAGTTCAGCATCTCTTACCGTGTTTCTCCAACAATACGACCTCCCCCAATAGGAACACCCAGCATGTTTTCCAGGCATAAAATGAAATTAAGCCCCTCCCCCCAAATTTAGGCCCATTTTAAAACATGTGAAATGGGGGAAGGGCGGGGGGACTTGCAGTTAGGAGCGCCCTGCGGGCAGCAATTCCTCGCCACCAGCTGCTCCTAATGGGAGATCATGGCAGAGCGCAGAGAGCCCCTACTCCTGCCAAGCACCTTTGTTGCAGACCTAAGACCTTCAGCGCCCGCCGCTGTTGATTTCCCTTCTGCCTATGCCACTGCCACGTTTGGAGCTGCTGCTTCCACGTTTGGAGCACTGCCACTGTTCGGAGCACCGCTGCCGTTTGGAGCTGCCACTTCCACATTTGGAGCTGCCGCCGTGTTTGGAGCTGCCGCTTCTGTGTTTGGAACACCACCGCTGTTTGGAGCACTGCCGCTGTTTGGAGTTGCCATGTCCACATTTGGAGCTGCCGCTTCCACGTTTGGAGCACTGCCGCTGTTTGGAGCACCGCCATTTGGAGCGCTGCCACCACTCCAAACACGGTGGCAGCTCCAAACACGGAAGTGGCAGCTCCAAACCTGACGGCGGTGCTCCAAATGGTGGCAGCACTCCAAATGGCAGTAGCACTCCAAACATGGAAACAGCAGCTCCAAATGTGGCGGTGGAATGGGCAGAAGGGAAAGCAACAGCGGCAGGTGCCAAAGGTCTTGGGTCTGCAGCAAAGGTGTTTGGTGGGAGTAGGGAGCTCTCTGCGCTTCGCCATGATCACCCGTTAGGAGTGGCTGGTGGTGAGGCTGCCCGCGGGGCGCTCTAGATGAGGATGCAAGGGGGGGAATTAAGTCACCCCTGAAAAGACAGCCTAGCCATTTTTTCGGGGCTCAAAAAAATATAAGACCCGGCCTTATTTTATGAGAAACACGGTAGAGAAGCTAAAATTGTAGGTACATGGAGGCTGCCATATATCCAGGTCATACTGTTTAGTCAATATTTCTTTCAATTGTGGTAAATTGTCAAGTAGATACTGAAGGCAAGTCAAACTATAAAGAGAATACTGATAGTCCTCATTTAGTAACCATTTGCAATTATAACAGTGATGAAAAAGTAATTTTGTCACTAATCTTCATGTTTATGGGTCTGTAAAGCACAGGAAAGCTGAAGTAAGATCATAAACAATCGTAGTTTCACTTACTACTTTGCTTAACAACCGAGTTTTCAGTCCCAACTGTTGTCGGATATGAAGATCTCAACATCTTAAAAAAAAACATTAAAAATAAAGCTATTAAAAGTATTAATTCCTTGTTTAGCCCAAACATTCCAATAAAGTATTTTCCTGTTATTCTTATATCTGAGTCTCCTTACAATATCTACTTTTCTTGTGATTCAGATCAAATCATAGAAGTGTATACATCTCTAACCAAATATGCCTAGCATCTTTCAGAGCAGGAAATAAAAGAGCCTGATTTAGTACAGCTTGACCCTTGTTTTGGTTACTTTATTTAAAGCAGGGGTGTTAAAACTCGATTTCATTGAGGGCCGCATCAGGGTTGTGTTTGAATTTGGGGGCTGGAGTGGGTGTGGCTGCGGGAGGCATGGCCAACTGGACATTACTCATGTCAGGGGCAGCTGTGGCCTGAGCCTCTGCTAGAGGAAATGGGCTCCTGAGCTGTTTTCAGCTGGGACAGTCTCCTGGTACCCTCTGCCAGCAAAATGGAGCTCAGGAGGGCCATGTTTTCACTGGCAGAGGTACCACGGGCCAGTCCTTTGCTATTTCCAGGGCAGCCCCGCAGGCCATATCTAAGCACTCTGTGGGCTGGATCTGGCCCCGGGCCTTGAGTTTGACACCTCTGAAATAAAGGGAAAGGCAACTTTAAACTATACATGGCTAGCTTAAAGTGTTTGCAAAGAAGTTGAAAGAATTATATTTGGAAGGAAATGAGAGATGATAGTGGGCAGTGGCAGCTTTATGCTGGCCAGACTTTTATGGATCAGTGAAAAATT